GAATACATTGCACAAATCGGAATTAAATCCATAGAGGGCAGCTCCGGCATTAAGCTCGGTTGAATTTTAACCTTTGCAAGACCGAGGTAATCTATGACACCTCGGATACAGTCCGGCGCTGGAGCTCGGCTGTACAAAGACTCTTCGGATACAGTCCGGCGTTGGAGCTCGGATACATTCCGGTGTTGGAGCTTGGAAGCGGTCCGGCGTTGGTGCTCGGCTGCAAAAGATACCTCGAATCCAGTCCGACGTTGGAGCTCGGATGCAAGAGGGCACCGCCGCACGGGAACAATTTCAAACCTGAGGTGTGGCATAAAAATAACAAGGCATTGATAAAGGCCGAGAACTTAAAGGGGCTCCTCGGATACCCGACGTGTAAACTCTTCGGATTCACTTCGACGAACCTCAAGATCGAAGATGAGAAAATTTGTTGAACCAGTTTTCAAGACCGACGACCGAAGATGAAGAATAGTTTGGAAAAATCAAGGAGAGTCCCCAACTTGAAGACCGATTCAGGGGGCTACTGACGGTGTCCTAGATTAGGGGATAATCACCATGTCATCTCCCGACCAGCTGGATCGGGCCGAGGACCCCCATGGAGATTTACTCATGGGCCACTTCGGGCAGCCCATGCCGCATACAAGGGAGATCCCACAAGACTTGGCGCCCAAGACGAGGACTCTCCTAAACCCTAGGCCTCTGGTGTGTTATATAAACCGAGGCCAGGCTAGTCAATAGACAATCTAATATTCATTAGAACAATCTCATGGTAGATACATGTAGTCTGTACTACACCCCATATGAATACAATCAAAAGCAGGACATAGAGTTTTACCTCCATCAAGAGGGCCCGGACCTGGGTAAAATCCCATGTCCATGTTACCATTGCTCCAAGACGCCTAGCTTAGGACCCCTACTACGAGATATCCCAGATATAGAACCAACAGTAACTATTGGGTTGCCTCCCAACAAGCGTTATTGTTTTACGCCCCTAGCTAGGCGTAAGGCATTGTTTCAAGTATTGTAATAAAAGTAAGCGAGATCATCCATGTTCATATCATACTTCCTTCTTTCAGTAGAAAGCTTCCTAAGAGGTATGTAAAAATAATCAAAAGAGCTAAATTTAATAGGGTAAGGATCCGTAAGATCAAGTTTAGGAGGAGAAGGATCATCCTTTGGCCCTTTGTAAGTGATGACTATTTCTATATTATGCATGTTTCTTTGAATATGTTCCTTTAGCCTTTTCTTAAGCCCACACCCCAATCCATTATTTTGTATAGCAAAATTATCATTATGCTCGAAAAGTTTATCAAGTAAAACAGATGGGGGAACCTTTTTCCTAAGATTCTCATTGTAAGCAGCATAATCTGGAGATTGTATTCTCCTTATTTCCTCTTTGTTGTAAAGAGTTTCTTCCATAGGAGGATACCCACTACTTATATTGTAATAAGAAAATATTTCCCGTGCCTCCTTCATGATGTGGCTAAATCCATAAGCTAGAAATATAGTGGCTACACATTTAACGGAAGGATCATGTATGTTCAAAAATTCTAGAAGTATCCTTTGCATAGCCGGATGCATATGCACACATTGTCCTTCAAATTCAACTATAAGCAAAGATATGGCATCCGCAATACTAGTAGTTTTATTAAGAATTGATCCTCCTAACATAGGTAACGTGCCAGCACAAGTAAAGAAATCCTGAATAATGCCTTTTCCAATAATATTACCACTGCATATACGAAGTTTTTTAGTATGCATGATAGTGGGTTCTTCTTTATCATGATCATCATCGGCAAGGTTATCTAACTTTTCTTTAGCAACTTCATCAAAACTTCTTTTAACATTTTCATTTTCTATAAGTATAGCTTGAAGATCAAAAGGTTCCACACTAGTTGCGGAAACATCACTAACCTTGCAAACTCAGACATGATAGCAACTTCAAGCAAAGCAAGCAAACTAACAAAGTAAACTATTTTTGGTGTTTTTGTTTTTATGAGAAGTGTAGGGAGATGAAAAGAGGGGCAAATAAAAAGTAGAGCAAATAGATGATAGTTTGTACGTAGGAACCTGATAAGAATTTAATGATGTCTCCTCGGCAACGGCGTCAAAAATTCTTCCTGCTACTTGTAAACTGCATTGGGTTTTTCCCCGAAGAGGAGGGGTGAAGCAGTATAGTAGAGATAAGTATTTCCCTCAGTGAGAACCAAGGTTGTCAAACCAATAGGAGAACCAAGCAAACTCTCGTTGTCAGCACCTACACATAGAAAAGCAAATACTTGCACCCAACGTGGGCAAGAGGGTTGTCAATCCCCTTGAACTCGTAACTCACAAGGATTAATTCTGATAGTAATAGATATATAAAAAGAAAAGTAAGACAAAAGTAAATAAATTGCAGCAAAGTATTTTTGTTTTTAATATGATAAAAGTAAATAGGGGGCATAGTTTTCACTAATGGCTTCTCTCTCGAACACATAGCATACAGTGGGTAAACAAATTGTTGTTGGGCAATTGATAGATAAGCACATAGTTATGACGTTATTCATAACAATGATCATGCATATAGGCATCACGTCCGTGACAAGTAGACCGACTCCTTCCTGCATCTACTATATTACTCCACCAATCGACCGCCATCCAACATGCATATATGGTATTAAGTTCATGACAAACAGAGCAACACTTTAAGCAAGATGACATGATGTAGACAAAGTAGACTCAAGCAATATGAATAAACCCCATTGTTTTATCCTTCATGGCAACAATACAAATGTGTGCCTCGCTACCCCTTCTGTCACGAGGTGCGAACACCGCAAGATTGAACCCATTACAAAGCACCTCTCCCACTGAAGATAAATCAATCTAGTTGGCCAAACCAAACGGATAGATCGAAGAGAAATACAAAGCTATCATAATCATGCATGATAAAGTTCAAAAAAGACTCAATTACTTTCAATGAATAATCTGATCATAAACCACAATTCATCAAATCTCAACAAACACACCGTAAAAGAAGATTACATCGGATAGAACTCCAAGAAGATCAAGGAGAACATTGTACTGAAGATCAAAGAAAGAAAGAAGAAGTCATCTAGCTACTAGCTATGGACCCGTAGGTCTGTGATGAACTTCTCACGCGTCATCAAAGGGGCGACAAGGTTAATGTAGAGGCCCTTCGTGATCGATTCCCCCTCCGGCAGAGTACCAAAAAAGCCTCCAGATAGGATCGCGGAAGAACAGAAGCTTGCAACGGTAGAAAAATTATTTCCGGTGGCTCTATGGGAGTTTCCCAATATTCGAGAATTTATAGAAGTGAAATTAGGTCAGACGGAGCCACGTGGTGCCCACAAGGTAGCAGGGTGCGCCTGCCCCCCTGGCGCGCCCTGTTGCCTTGTCGTCTCATCGTTTGCCGTCTGACCTCCCGAAGCTGCTAAGGTCTCTTTTGTCCAGAAAAAATCGTCAAAAAATTCCATGGCATTTGTACTCCGTGTGGTACTGATTTTCTGAAAAACCAAAACAAACAGAAAATAGCAACTAGCACTAAGCACTGGGTTAATAGGTTAGTTCCCAAAAATAATATAAAATTGCATAATAAAGCATATAAAGTATCCAAGATTGATAATATAATAGCATGAAACAATCAAAAATTATAGATATATTAGAGATGTATCAAGGTGTTATTTGTAATACCTCCTTCTGATCAATGGATTTGACAACTCTCCTGCCAACATTCAAAAAATATTTTCTCTTTTAGCTTGTGGTTCACAGCCTAGCTATAGTCTACACCACATGCCTATGTGTTTGACTGGCCGGACGTCACTGGTTGACACTAAGAGTTCCAGACATGCCGGACTTATTTTCGAGGTTGGCAGATAAGAGCATCTATAGCCGGACTCAAATTGACCAGGCGGACACAGGACCAGGGAGAAGCAAAAAAGTTGATCCTACCAGACCCGCATAGCCTCCTTAGATGCCCGGGTTGTCTGACACTCATCATATTCATCTCATATGAGATGAGTACGAGGAGTGCCCAGGCGTGTCTTGTGAGTGGCCATGCGTGCGCCACATAGGATTAGACCCCCCATAGAGCTTTTTTTTCTTTCTTTATAATTTCTTTTCTCTCTCTCCTTCTCCACCAATCATATGCATATGACCGGTCATATAAGAGAAAAGGTAAGGGACATGACTGCATGACGAGCAAAATAGGGATTCCAAACAGACACGCCCGGACACTAATCGGGCGCTCCACAAACGTTTGAGGGGCTAAATTTGTTCAATCCAGCTGACGCCCTAAGTTCGTCAGTGCTTTGGTTTTGTTTTGTTTCTTTGAGAGGGAGGAGAGAGAGATCATGTAAAGTCAAAAAGGTCCTCATTACGGTCCATTTGAATCACAATCACCCAGCCGGGTCATACATGTTATCCTCAATAAAGTACTACACTGATCCAATCATCATCCAATGAAGAAAGGTTAAAAAAATATATATATATTAATATCAAGAAGATATCAATTACACTCAGCCTCTGCAACAACAAGATCCTAAAAACATTCAGGATGCACACAGCCCAAAAAAAAGATAAAAGAAAAAAGAAAAAAGACCCGCCATGGTGATCAATCACCGGAGTAGCAGCACTCTAACCACCACCAAAAACAACACCCAGACTACAAATGAGGTTCTCCAAAAGCAACTCCTTCAAGAAGGAAACAAAGTACAAGCATTGTCATTGCCCGATCAAATATCTTAGATTTTCACCCTGGAGAAAGATCACGTTCGCAAAACAATGCTATGTTCAATCATCCAATATATGCAGGCTGGTTCCGCAACTATTTCCAGAATAAAACAGCAAAAAGAATCTACATATCCTACAATATCGAACTGCACATAAAATTAACTTTGAATCAGAGACTTGCTCCATCAAACTAGTATCGGCATTAGAATTTCTCTATTGCTACAGTATGATTGCCTTTTCTTTGACAGGAGGGGCAATCTGCTTATTCTTCCCTACGCTATGCTACACATGTTATTTTTGTCACGTTTTTGAACAATTCCCGGTTTTGGCAGCGGATTAGAAGAATTTCTCGAAGTCCTCAGCTGGCTGGCTCCAAACATCCATGAAACCTAAAAGAACCAAAGAGGGAAACAAATATAAAACTCCATGGGAAAATTGACCCACATTGTTACCAACAAACTTTTACAAGTATACAATGTTAACAATAACATGCAAAATATGTTCATGGTCATGGCTGTTACCACCTCTAATCCAAAAATATGTCATTTTAGCTCACATGGAGCAAGAAATGAGCAAATGTTGTAGTTTATGTCATTTTGATAGCATTTAGTGGGGCAGCTGACATAAGAATTCACCAAAATGGAAGTATTTGAAAACAAAACCCACCTACTTAAAATGATACCAAAAGTGGGCGGGGTGTAGTATGAATCAAGCATGCAGCAATTTTCACATTACCTAGCCATTGAATAGGTATTACCAACGTGAGTACTTTCCAACTAATCCCGAATTTTTAATTGCCAAAGGTACTGAATATCATGCATGAGTTTGCCATTCATTTCACTAGCACCCGCGATGCTTTTATGATATTCACTATAGTCCTTAACCTAAGAAGGTTGGCCTATAGATTCCAACGCAAATGTGCCAATCCTTTTCACATACCAAATAGATCCTGTAAATAAGATGAAAGGTGCATGCTCTAATTTGCTGAGTGACAAGGCAGAATTAAGAGATGGCTATGTTCGATTACTGAATAAATTCAATTGCGGAGCATGCACGTATTCACAAAAAGAGCTTGGATCAGATTTAAAAATATCATCACATTGCACCACAATTAGCAATAAAAAGTTATACAAAGCGACAGATTGAACCAGATTCTGATCAAGACTTTGGCAGTCAACCTGGTGCAATGCGCCGGTTTTTGTTTCTACATCTGATCCTTTGTAACAAAATACATCATCCACACCAAAATTTACTCTTAATTATATGATGTGGGTGATACAGAGCAAAGAAAAAGATTCAGTTCTTTGAACTTCACATATAGAGAAATTGCCACTTTATAGTCAGTGATTTGAGTTTTTTAAGATGTACTACAAAAACACATTTTCTTTCTTACTTCACTAATTTCTTCTCACAAACAACACATCAGCATTGATAATTTTCCTAAACACGTGCATAGGAAGTATTTGCAAAGGATTTATCATGTCTTGAAGTACATGCAACCACACTAAAGTGTGCGCTTAATCGCTATAAATAACTAGATGGGTAATTGCGAGTCTCTGATTATATCTGTACATTCAACTTAACAGTATCACCAAAGCCAGTCAAAACATAGTTTAGGAACATGGAGGACTTCCCTAGTATACTAAAACTAGTGTGGAACAAACACTAAAAAAGAAAAAACTAGTGTGCAACTATACGTCACTGAGTTGCATAGGAAATGGATCAGTGACTCCGATATATACTCCCGCTCCTCATAGACCACATAAATTAATTGATTATACCATTTTTTATAATTACCAGACACCCAAAGTGAGTTTCCTGACAAACTACAGTTGATACCACATATTTATATTATTTACACCTAAACCTCATTTTTGTACGTAAAAAATGCTATGTACTGCATAAGGGCAACTCCAACGCCGTGCGTCAAATCGGACACACCAAATGTTTGCGGACGCTGGCTGCTCAACGAGGGCCCTGGCTCCGTCTTGACGCGGTCATGCGACAGGGACGTCGGCTCCTTGATGCGGATGAGTCACAACGGCAAACTATGGCGCTGGACCATGGTCGAAGAGCAGCCGCTCAAGCAGCAGCTAGAGCTGGCGTGCATACTCCACGTACGTTAGCGCGGCCTTAGGCGAGGAGGTGTGGCTGCTGCTGCCCCTCGTCATCATTGGAGATCACCACCTCCTTGATTGTGGGCGTCGGCGGGCCCGGAGACCGTTGGCGGTGGCGCCATGATCTGGATGACCCCGGGGATCCACCTACCAGCCGCCAAGAACCAGCCGGATCCGCTGCCGGACTTGCCCATCTCTGCGGTGCGCGGAGGAAAGGTGAGGGGAGAGGATGTCTGGAGTGGAGATGGGGTTTGCCGACGAGAGTGGACTGCTTAAATAGTTGGGCCACATGGACCAGCGCCGCTTCCATGCAAGCACAGCGGACAGAGTAGGCTTATCGGTCGAAGCAGCTTCGAACAGCCGTCCGGTATGTCGGTCTGACCGGCATCAACGCAAGTAGGTGACTGTCCGGTACATCTCCTCAGCGGCGGTGAATGCATCGCGAGGCTTCTAGAGCGGAACACGCGGCGAAGGTTTTGGGTGGGACCAGACCGCTTAGTAGGACATACATGGTGGATGTCCGGATGGCCACAAACCTCCTACAGGTTTGTGTCCGGTTTGTGGGCACGACAGTGGATGGCAAAAAGTGTCCGGACCGCTCTGTTCAGACGTTTAGCGGCGTTTTGATGCACGTTGTTGGAGATGCCCTAAACTATGGGCTTCGTTGATTTTTTTTGTGAAACTTAGATGGAGGTATAATAAATTTGTTTAAGAGGTATATTTTGAATGTGGGAGTACATACTCCCAAGAGTACAGAAAATTAGTCTATACTTCATCAATATAATGACTAGATACCTCAAAGTCAGTTTTACAAAAAAAAAAAATCAAAAAAAAATTCGGGGTTGTTTGGTTGCCACCCTGGGAGTCATGGCTGAGAAATTTCTGTGCCTGACTCATGGCTGAGAAATTTCTGTGCCTGACAGTAGCCGGAGAATCTTGTGATTTTTGCCTGGCCAGGCAGGTTTGAGAGGTGTTGTTTCGTTGGCAGCCTGGCCTGCCAAGTGCTTAGAGCAACTCCAACGCGGCGACCCATTTCGTCCGCGCACGTCCGTTTTGGTCGACGCAGACAGAAAAGTCGGCCCAACGCGCCGACCCAAATGGACGCGCGTCCGCTTTTCATCCGCCTCCCGGCCCATTTTTGAGACGGCTTTGCGTCAGCGTGGACACGCGACAGACGCCCGTGCGCCCGCCTACTCCTCCCCCCTGGCCCGCTGGTTGGTGGCACATTGGCCATCCTCTTACGTTCCAACAACAAACCCTCGCCCGCCTCCTTCGTCGCCACCGCCGCCGCCCATTTCTCCGGTGACTCTGCCAGCTGTCGGCGCCGCAACATCCCCTCTGCAACGCCGCCACCTCCCACGTCGCCCGCCACCGCCGTCTTGCCGCTGGGGAACCGAAAGCTTCCCACCCCCGCTCCCCCGACACAGCCGCGACCGCGACCAAGAAGCCGCCTCGCCGCCCCGGGCAGATCCTCACCGGCACACTCGTCGGACACCGCCGGGGCAGCTAGTTGGTCCGAGGGTGGCACGACTCCCTTCGACGGCCGTCTCCTTCGTTGACGCCCACAAGCTGTTCGACAGTTTGCCAAGGTACAAAATGGACTCCACCGACAATTTTTTTTCACAATTTCCTTTGCGACTCCGACAATTCCTCGTCAGATGATGAGGAGATCTTGGCTGCCGTGTTGGTCCATCACCACCTCAATAGCCAACGGCCATCGTTCCGTGGCTCCATTCCGGGGCACCTTCCGGCGTTGAATCGCAATCGAGAGAGCGGGCATTTCCTTCTTTGGAAGGTCTACTTTGACACAACAAACCCGTTGTTCAAACATCAGAAATTCCACCGCCGTTTCCGTATGAGTAGGCATCTTTTCAACCGTATTAGAGAGGGGGTGGTCGGCTATGATGACTATTTCGAGTGCAAAGAGGATGCCGTTGGAAAGAATGGTTTCTCCTCTTATCCGAAAATGCACTGCCGCCATCCGAATGCTTGCATACAGAGTACCCAATGATCTCATTGACGAGTACGTCCGTATGAGCGAGTCTACATGCCTAGACTCCCTGTATAAGTTCTGCAAGGCTGTTATTGCTGTGTTTGGCCCTGAGTACTTGAGAGAGTCGACTCCTGAAGATACAACCCGTTTGTTGGCGATGAATGCCAGCAGGGGCTTCCTAGGGATGCTTGGCAGCATAGACTGCATGCACTGGGAGTGGAAGAACTGCCCTTCTGCTTGGCAAGGGCAGTATAAGGGCCATGTCAGGGCTTGCACTGTCATACTTGAGGCCGTGGCGTCTCAAGATCTCTGGATCCGGCACTCTTTCTTTGGCATGGTCGGATCACACAATGATATCAACGTGCTTCAGCGCTCGCCGGTGTTTGCTAGGCTTGCCGAAGGCAACAGCCCACCGGTGAACTTTACTATCAACGGCCACAACTACAACAAAGGATACTACCTGGGTGACGGTATCTATCCTCAGTGGACCACTATTGTGAAGACAATCCCCAACCCTATCGGAGAGAAGAGGAAAAGATTTGCCCAAGAGCAAGAGAGTGCTAGGAAGGACGTCGAGCGTGCCTTTGGTGTTTTGCAATTTCGATCGGGCATCGTTCGGTATCTTGCTAATACTTGGAGCACGCAGAAACTATGGGAGGTGATGACTGCTTGTGTGATCATGCACAATATGATCGTAAAAGATGAGCACCCGGAACGTCTCTACGATCAAGGGTTTCAGTTTCAGGGTGAGAATGTTGTACCTGAGCATGGAGGAGCGGCAACGTTTGAACAATTCACCCAATTTCATCATGACTTGCGTGATTGGGAAACTCACATGCAACTGCAAAATGATTTGGTTGAGCATATGTGGGCTCATGTTGGCAACCAATAGATGTATCTTCTTTATTCGGCTTGCAAAACTACGTGAGACATTTTTTCTTTTATTCGGCTTGTAAAACTATGCTATTTTATTTGGTTGAAACTACGTTATTTTTTTGGTTGTGGACTATATGTTTGCTTATGAAATAATGCAAAAGTTGTGTGTGAAATAATGCAAAAATTGTGCTATTTGTTGAAAAAGGCGGCCAGCCGGCCACGCCGGCACATATGGGTCGGCGTGTTGGGCGCACTGCCGACCCAAATCTCAAACAAGGCGGACGCCGGGCGGGCGGCCGACCCAAACGGACAAAAAGCGGACAAAAGCGCCGTCCATTTGGGTCGGCACGTTGGAGTTGCTCTTAGGTACAAGATGCTTTGCTATATAAAAAATAGACTCCCG